TCGCATTAATATTTCCTTTTATTCTCAGAGTTGAAGATATACATAAAGTAGATCCTTCTGGCCGTTTATCATCAAGCTCGACATCAGGTGAGGTGTACATGTCTATTGTTGTTGATCGACTGTGAATGTATATCGTGTTTAATGGACAAGGTGATCATTGGATACTTTGCATGTTCATTTTATGGTAGAAGAAGGTAGCTTCAATACGGCCGCTGCCATTGCCAACAAGAAAGCATCATCTGCAAATCAAGTTAAAGATAGCCTCGTTAAAGTGGAAGGTCTAGTATAGATAAATTCTTGAGATTGCAATTGTGTATCTTTTTAATTGATCTTAGACCTTATACTTTTAATGGAAGCTTGTTTAACTATATATAATCGTTTGTCATTTTAGTGCATACAAGCTCTCTAAATCTCCAGCCAAGGCTTTCTTTCTATATTGTTCTTTTAGATAGGAGTCCTAAGACAATACTGTTAGGAATCACGGATCTCCATAATGGTATGATATTGTCCATTTTGAGCATAAGCTCTCATGGCTTTGCTTTGGGCTTCCCCAAAAGGCCTCATGCCAATGGAGATGTATTCGTTGCTTATAAATCCATGATCATTCCCTAAACTAGCCAATATGGGACTCCCTCCCAACGGTCCTCAACAAATACGTTGTTCACACCGAAGGGATGGACAACGTAGATTATCTAGTCTTTCCTTTTGCTTGACATTGTGTGTTCTCTGGGTTGTGTTGTCTAGTTAAAGTTTCACAGCTTTCATATTGTGTGCCCCCTGGAGCCTTATTATTGTTTCTGGATAACAACCTTTAGCCAGAGTATGTCATTATGAATCTTAGTTTGATTAGAGGACATATTCTTCCCTTCCCGACTCTCTCTTTCAGCGGACGATCATATGGATTCAATGGGAAGGCGATAATATAGTCACACCCTTATTTTATATTTCTTCAAATATTTGCATACTCTTTTTAGAGCACCTGGATGTTGAAGCTAAATTTGTATGATGATATAATGGCAGATTCTCAAACAGATCGGAGCTTTAATGGGAAGAAACCTAATGTTCAAGCAACTAAGGGTCCTTTATTAGAGCTGAGTGGTTACAATGAAAAGAGACAGGAGTTTGATCCAGAATATGATAATGACGCTGAGCAGCTGCTAGCGGAGATGGAGTTTAAGGATGCTGACGGTGAGGACGAGCATGAGCTGAAAATGAGAGTGTTGCGTTTATACTCAAAAAGGTAAAAGTTAGTAACCTTTTTGTTGGCTTTACATGTTGGCAAAAACATCCATCAAAACTTGTTTACCTTTCCATTGTTTCTTTGGTTTCTACTCTCTAAATCTTATATAGTGATGTTATTATCCTGCAGGCTGGATGAGAGGAAGCGGAGAAAAGATTTTATATTACAAAGAAATTTACTTTATCCAAGTTCTTTTGAAAAGGAATTATCAGCTGAAGAGAGGGCGATATGTCGTCAATATGATGTCTTCATGCGTTTCCATTCAAAGGAAGAACACGAGGAATTGCTTCAAACAATTGTTGCAGAGCATCGGACCTTGAAACGAATTCAAGAACTTAAGGTTTTAAAACTCAATTTTCATCATGCAGATTTACGTTAGATTCTTGTTTTCTGCCAATATCGTGTAACTCGTCTGATAATGGCTTAACTAATACATTCAGTTCTCTGCATACTTTTGATGTGCTTACATTTACAAATGATTATCCAGGAAGCTAGATTGGCTGGATGTCGTACACCGAGTGAGGCAGAGATCTTTCTCGATAAGAAAAGGAAAAGAGAATCTGAAGGAGCTGATCATAGAGTGAAAGAAAGTAATCTTACAGGCGCTGGAAGTCGGGGCAATTCAATCATGTTCACTCCATCCGAGTCCGCTGGGAAGGATTCAAATTCACGACCAGCAGTGCAGGCTCTTTCTGGCTCTGTCAACGACTTCGATATGTTTGGCGCAGATTTTCTTTCTGAAGCTGTAAGTGCAATCTCTGACTTACTAAACGAACATCTTAGAGCTTTTCTTATTCACATTTTTCTTGATTTGAGATCCCAATTATTGTAAAAACCATTCTTTAAGAAACAACCCTGTAGGCATTAGTGTAAACGCACCATTAGTCTTTTCATTAGTCTTATGACAATAATCTCAACTATCTACTGGAGTCTATCCCAGGGAAATCTCAGTGCCTTCCCTTGGAACTAAGCTGCTACACTGCTTTATTTCTGTAGCTCCACAACCAAGTCTTCACTAGATTAAGAGAACTCTTTGGTAATCAAATGGAACTAGAAACCTTGGTGAATAAGACTGTAATCTCAACTAAGCTACCAATTCTATTCAATTTTGGACAGCTTTCAGCTTTTATTAGCCAGCTCCCTTTTGACAGCTTTTTCGAACTAATGTTTGCTGTTATTATCATATTCATCGACACTGAACCTTTGTTTAGAATTCAAAGATACCGATGTACAACCTATAGAACAAATCCTATTCAAGTATAGTCGTATCAACTACTCTGAATCATTCACGTATGTTTGTATACCACAAACTTAAAGATTCATGTATTAGCAAAGAGAAATGCACAATTTTCTTTTTACTTTTTTTCTTTTTACTTTAACTGTAACAGCCCAAGCCCACCGCTAGCAGATACTGTCCTCTTTGGGCTTTCCTTTTCGAGCTTCCCCTCAAGGCTTTTAAAACGCGTATGTTAGGGAGATGTTTCCACACCCTTATAAAGAATGCTTCGTTCCCCTCTCCAATCGACGTCTCACAATCCACCTCTCTTCGGGGCTAAGCGTCCTTACTGGCGATGTGCCAGCAAGGATGCTAAGCACCGAAGGGGGGTGAATTGTGGATCCCACATCGATTAGAGAGAGAGAAACGAAGCATTCTTTATAAGGGTGTGGAAACCTCTCTCTAGCAGACGTGTTTTAAAAACCTTGAGGGGAAGTCCAAAAGAAAAAGTCCAAAAAAGACAATATTTGCTAGTGGTGGGCTTTGACTATTACGTAACCTCACCAAAACAGTAATCCATCTTAGAAAACAGCAGACTTGTCTTACTTTATGTCTTCTTGGTGTTTCACTTTATGTCTTCTTGGTGTTTCGATGAGGTGTTTTACTGTTGGATTGGCAGGAAAAAAGGCTATGCAGTGAAATCAGAGTAACTCCACCCCTTTACCTAAAGATGGAAGAAGTTCTATCAGTAGAGATTTTCAATGGGAATGTAACCAAGAAATCTGATGCCCATCACTTATTCAAGATTGATCCAACCAAAATCGACAGAATCTATGAGATGCTCATCAAAAAGGGTATTGCTCATCCTTGATATTCTTCATTTTCTTCTTGTAGCTTAATTCTTACCCCTCGATGAAATGGAAGAACAGTTAGAACTAGAAGCAACTCACCACTATTTATACCGTAATATCAATAGCTTGTGTTATATATATCAAAGCTTTAAACTCTTTATTACTCATTCAACACCCATTTGAATAAACTCCACAAACAAATGGCCAAGAATGTATGTCCAAATTAACATTATTAGCATGGATAAATCTCTCTTATCATTTTGTGGAATTCAATGAAGCCATTATAAGGCTCTGCTGCTTTTATAACCATTACTAACTATTGACAAGTGTCCAGAAATTTCATCAAGTCTTGAGGAAACAGACACCAGAGAGGTCCATGTATTATATATTTTTGTTGCTCTCCTCTGCTCAACAATTTGTGGGATGAAAATTAGATATTTATGGAAGGCTTCCCCTAGGGCTCCAAAAATTGAGTTCTAAAATTGTATTAGATTGACCTTGGGGTTCTTCGGGTTCGAGGTATGCATTTAAACATGCCTCATTTGTCAAAGTCGTAGTCGAGGACGAGCATGGTTGTAGCTCGGCCTCAGGTTTTAGCCACTTTCTAGTATGCATTTAAATATGCTCATTTGGTCCAAAATGACTCGTAACATAATCTTTCACCCTTCAATTGGAGTTCATGGTTGATGTAGTAAGTTGAACTCAAGGAGCTCAACTTGGGACTGTTGTTCGTTTACTACATGCGTGTTTTTTAGTAACCAAAATTTGCACTTTTATAGCCCATTGCAAGATCCATCTCAAACTTTGGATATGTTAGGACGAATTGACTTAACTATTTTAAAGTTCAACTAACTTTTGAGTGCGTTTTTTCTATTCTTGTGTGAACTGTATATAATAGTTACTGTTTGTCGTGAGTATAAACATATCAAATTTTGTCTGTCTATGATTCGATTGATCCCTAAATATAAGGCACACCGAAAATATTTAGACCTTTTCGAGGTCCAACTAGGTTTTAGATGCACATCCATCGTAATTAAACAATGTTAAGCGCAAAATTTAAATCTAATCATCTTTGACTTGGGCACATGACTTTGGTCTAACTTAGGGTGATGCCTAAATTTGGAAATTTTGTCTTTGGCTAACCAATAGTGTCACAGTCATGTTTGTCCAAAGTGTGTTGCCTGTGACCGCATGTTGGATGTTCTGACCATACTTGTATAGGACGTGTTGACTATGAGCACATGCCTGTTCTAAATCCTTTTACTTGCTTTCATGTTAGATAGGCCCTTATTAGCTCATGTTGCATAATACATTGGTGTATGACTGGTCACCAAAATCATGTCTACACCTACTAGGGCTAAAAAGCCCCAAAACGTACTATGGAGGGATGTGACTAGCTGTCAATTCTTCCTATCCATGTTATATACTATCAAAGTTGTTGCTTACTCGCTTTTAGCTTATAACATTGTTTCTTTAAAATTGTTTTCAATGTAACTTCTCGCTCACGTTTTCTAAAACACTTCTCTCAAAACGTGATCCGAGACTCGAGCATACGCTGATATTGTTCGCAAAGTCTGAATTTCACACATCTAACTTATTCACTAAGTTAGAACAAGTACCGCACAATCGTTATCTTGCTGTTGCAAGAGTGCGATTGTTACATCATGCATTCCATGGACCTTCTTGATCAACTAACGCATACATGCCAGGTGGAATTACTCTAGTAACTTGATATAGACCTTTCCACATTGGCCTAAGCACTCGTATAGTCAAATCTCGAGTATTCCAACAACATACAAAAGGAAAGGACAAACACGCCTCCAGGTACGCTCACAAACCGTAACTCTTGCTACACTTACGAAACATCTTAATTGATTCAAGCATTAGAGTGTAATCACAAGTTCTTGCATTGATACCTTAGTTATTCGTTTTGCAGGTAGCTTCATCTCTTTTCTTCACTGAATTCACGCAGAATCACCGTACTTAAAAGGATAGTTTATCTTTACTTAACCGTTACAAAAGTCGGGGATTTAACCATCGACATGTATTTTTCATTTCCAAAAAGAAAAGATGAAGGAAAGGAAATGATTGATTTTGGCAATCAAATAAAGCAAGGATTGTGACGTTTAGAGTGAGGCAATAATGGTAAGGTCTTTCATGGGATCCGACGAGAAGAAAAGGATGGAACACTTTGAGCCTCAAAACCAAATAATAACCCTAATCTCCATTTCTTCATGACTCCACGTGTCCCCTTCTCCTTTATCCCTCCATCCCTTAATTTCATCACTTTCATGGACAAACCCCAGAACCTTCCACCCTCCATTTCCCCCCCCCTCTCTCTCCTCCTTTTTGTCTCAATTCCCTCATATAACTTTCTCTCTCCCCCAAAATACCCTTCTCCTCTCATACCCTCCCTCATGTCCACAAGGTCATTTCAGTCATTTCCCCACTTGAAATCAGCTCGTTTTCATGGGCATGGAAGAGCTAGAAGGACCACTATAAAAGAAACAGAACATGGCAGCTCTGTGTACTTGCTTACTTAACCCAAATCCCCCAAAAATCTCTCGTTTTCAAGAGAAAAGCTCTCATTTTGGTGATTCCCTTTCAAAATGGAGAATAGGGTTGAAGCCATAAACATGGATTCATATGAAAGTTTGGATCTTGATAGAACATCATCAACAAACAATAATGTTGAGAGGTTGAAAAGGATGGTGAAGTTCATAGTGTCAATTTGTGTGTTTTCTTTGGTTTTGGCATTGTTTTTTTCCTTCTTCTCTCTCTTCCCTCATTCATTTACTGTCTATTTCTCCACTTTCCTCTTCTCTCTCCTCAACCATGGCATGGAGAGAAAGTTCATGTTCTTGATCTGTAATGGAATCCTGTTTCTTCTTGCCACTTCCTCTGTTCTTCAAGATTCTTCTCCTTCATCTTCTTCTTCTTCTTCTTCCTCCTCTTTTGGGTATTCTTCATTTTCCCATTCTGTTCATCATGATCAATTTGAACATGATCTTGTGGCTGATGCCTCTGATGGGTATGATTCTGATGAGTCAGAAGAACAAGAACATGAAGAACATGAAGATGAACATGAAGATGAACATGAAGATGAACATGAAGATGAACATGAAGATGAACATGAAGATGAACATGAAGAACAAGAAGAAGATGAAGAAGATGAAGGGTGTTTTACAGAGGAGGTTGAAGAAGAAGAGGAGGAAGAAGGAAAAAGGAGGGATTTAGAGGTGGTGGTGAGTACAGAAGAATTGAACAAGAAAATAGAAGAGTTTATAAGGAAAATGAAGGAGGAAATGAGGATTGAAGCAGCTCAAACTCAGCAGCTCATTGCAGTGTAATTGATAATATTTTATAACAAGCTTTTTGATGTTTTTAAGGTTTGTGTGCTTTCGTGTTTTGTGTTTTTAATAAAGTGTTCAGATTCTGGAAATATTGAACAAATTTGGAGTGAATTTACTGCTCAAACAATCATAAAACGTACTTAATCATCACAGTCCGATATGATTATCTCTTGTTGACCGATTATAACAAGATCCTGACTCTAATAGAAACGAGTAGCAATCTCTCTTTTATTCTATTTGCTTGTAATACTATTATACCTATTTGAAGTTACGAATGTTTTTCCAACTTTAGACTCGTTATGTGTTTGTTGAACTCATCGGTTTCGCGTCTATTGAAAGTAGATTATCGTCGTTACCATTAGCATTTGGTACTCTTTGATAGTTTCTCTCGTTTACGGCAAACTTTTGGTGTCCTTCTGAAATAAAAAACATAAAAAAAAAGGAAATAGTTACGAGAATAGACAACAATTAAGATAACCAATCGGATGCGGATTAAAATTAGGGAGGTGTTAATCAATTGTTAGTTGAATAAACACACTACCATTTGTATTTTATTCTTAATTAAGAGATATATTTATCATTCTACCATTTGTATTTTATTCTTAGTTAAGAGATATATTTATCATTTTATGTGATATTTTTTATTTTAACAAGACGAAAAATTGAATTAGACGTGAAACTCTATTTTTTATCGAAAAAAATCGTCTATAAAGTATGAAAAAGTCGTCATAGTAAAATAAACTTCCAGTAATCGAGAAAATGGAAATATTACAAACTGCTAGCATTGCGATGGTTTATTTTTTGTTCCTAAAAATTACTATAAATTTTTTTTTTCAGGAATATTCCACATAAATATTTAATTGACGTAATACTAAATAGTTTATTTATTTTTTTTAATATTTTTTTTTGAAGGAAATAAAAAAATTAAGTATTAATTAATGAATAAATTCAATAAATAAAATTAATTTAATGAAATCTAGATGAAGGATTTTTTTTTTTTAATTTAATTTGGAAAATATCATTCTTTATGTTTTTAGTATTTTAATATTCAAATATAATTGAAAGTAAAAATGTATTTTTTTAAAATTAAAATAAATTTGAGTTGTTTTAGGACGCATGAATTAATCCAATTTATAAAATTTTTATTTATTTGAATTTAGTCGGATTCGAATAAGTTCATAACCCAATCTATAAGAGTTCGGTTCGTCGGGTCATTGAGTTTTTTTGAACATTTCTAATTGATCGAGACCTATGCTTTCGTAAAAATTAGATGTTTGAATATCCGCTAATAAGCAAAAAAAAAAAAAAAAAAAAAAAAAA